AAAATAGCAAAGTTCTGCTTCATTGGTCAGATTGCCATTCCCTGCCTGCTTAGTGCACAATGAAACAGTAGAAAACTCACAGTCATCCCTGTAGTCTCTGCAGTTGTAAGCATGCTAACACTTTGCAAGATTCTGACTGACTCTGGTCCAGCGGTCTCAATTTTGATGTGCAATGTCACCGGACGAAAAGGAGGAAGAAGTTCATCCTGTGTAAACTCCAATGCCATCTGATATGGAGCTTACAAGGGGTAACATGAGCTTAGAAGGACTCACAGTTTCAAAGGAGGAACATTGCAGCAGGGGGAGCTCAAGGTGAGTACTAGTGGGTGAGGGGTTCATTACAAGAGAACCTGTTGTCAAGTTTCCCTGATAGGGCAAAGTGACAATCTCTTTAGGATATGAACAAAATATGACATTTATTACTATGCCATTTATTATAGAATATACATATTTATTTCTATTGTTCAAATTTTGTAATGTGTCATAAATGTTATCACTTTTTATAAATGTCACTCTACCTGACAATATTCTGTAATTACTGTATCAATACTAACATGATTTAATACTCAGCTGAAACTAAAGCGGCTGCGGAGATTGAAAACATTTATGTGACTCCAAACTGCACAGGGAAATTTTTGTGTCAACTATTTTCAAGCTTCACCTAATTTTTGGCTCAAAACTTCACCTGATCTTTGGCTCAGAACTTTTGTGAGTTGGGGGGAATTCCAAAGAAGTCTTTGGAGCTTGGAAAAAAGTAGCCTGGTGCAGCTTGCCATCCCCTTGTTGTTTGACACTCTTTCTTTTAAGGATACATAGAAGTCCCCAAATTCAGAAGCCACCAGATGACCAAACAAGACCAAAGAATATGTGTGTACTTCAAGTCCCTTCAAGTCCAGCTTTCAAACATTATTGGTTGTGAAAAGGAGTAATTCTACAACATCAAGCATGGCCTAAACAGTGCAAGAAAGATTCTTGGAATTCAAAACAACATAAAGCAGTGCATGTTGGAAGGTTGCTTCGGTGCCATGTATTTTTTTTTTATAAAGAATGAATGTACACTGTGTCAGTACACAGCCTACTCACCCTACAGTCTGTGCCCATTATAAGCTACTTCATACAGACACACCAACCAATGAATATGGAAAAATTCCATCATTCTGATACACAGTAAGAGGACACACAGGGTATCCACATGTGCAAAATATTTTTCCAACATCAAGAGATTACAAAGCTTCTCAATATTTTCATATTGCTACACTGCTGTAATCAAATTCAGTCTTTCTGTTCATCTGTTCAAGCATTATGATAAACAGTACCTTTTTACTATGCATAAAAGTGAATGGTTATGAAAGATCAAGACTAGGAAATGTGTTAGAAAATCTGTGTGTGTGATAACTAGTACTTCTAATACTTGCAAGTATTCAATATTGAATGAACATAAACCAAAACATGGCTTAAGAACTACAGGCAAACTTAAATTATGCCCACTGCTTTCAAACCCCACATATGGGCATCTTTAATTATTTGACGTCTGGTCAACAAATGGTTTAGTGTGTTGTTTTATGCAGATGACAGGTACATATTTGAGGAACGTTTCTTGGAAGAATCCTTGTATCTTATTTTGGGAAAAACCATAAACGTTAGGAAAAAGTAAGTGCTGAATTAATCCTCAAAATAATATATATTTTTGTACTGCATATTTGTTAAAAAAAAAAAAAAAGCCAAGCCAACCATAAGGATAATCTGAGTTGTGAAAGCCATTTTCTTACTGTGCCAAAAGACGTTTCATGATTCAAACACATCTGGTCAGCCCTGCTGCAGGAGTACAGACCTCCACCATCCTACCTTTTGCATAGCAACTTGTCCAAAAACAAACCTTACCATATATCATTTGAAACCAAAGTTAAACAAAAGCGGAAGAACAAATAAGTTCTTGTGCGCAGAGTAGTAGACCTTCTGGTGTGTTAAAAAGGTGCTAATGATGTCACTGGCCACATGTTCTATGTATACTCTATATGGATGACTGTGCATGCACAGTGCCAACCTGTACATATTGACCCTTGCTTCATAGTGGGAGGAAAGGGCAACAGTTTTTCTTTTAAAATATCGCTATAGAGAAAAGGATTTACTTGTCAGAATAAAGCCTTGTGTAATAAAAATATGCAAAGTGTGAAAGCAGTTTTAGCAGATGTTAACACTAATTCTTTGCATGTTCCTGCATCTCAGTGAATGGTGGGGTTGCCTCATCCTTTTCATCCAATGTAATTAGATTATTACGCTATGCAGTAGTGATACATGCTAGCCTTTTGCTGCTGGTATGGACAGATTAATCTGTCAGTTAGCACTTACAGCTTTAACACTTATTGAATGTGGCTGCTTATACTTTGTGTATTGGCGAAACTGCTTCAGTATTTAGTAATGACTTGCTGGGTTTTATTTAATTCCCAAGCAGGTGTAAACTCTCAGTGAGTACTACCTCCTTAAAAACTCTATTTCCATATGAGTATGATTTCAGTAGGTTTAAACTGCCAGAAGAAAACTGCAATGCAACTTTCTCACAGTCCCTCAGTTTATACTGTAGTTTGAACATGATATTATTCTTATTCCACATATCATTGTCAAGGCATCAAAACACAGTGGGCCTCAGGCATTACAAAGGCAGCACATAATAATAACCAATCATATTCCAGTGAAACTCTAATGGTTGGGTCCTTTCTAAGTGGGTAAGGAAATGTTTACTGCTTCTACTGCTACTGCTTCCATCTCTTATAAGAAAATATACATTTTGCAAAAAAAAAAAAAAAACTGAAAATGTATTATTTTTTGTATTTGAGCCTACAAAGCATTGCAATTGTGATCAGTAAATCACAGATTCAATGCTATGGTTCCTGCAGACTCTTGCTCCAACCCTTGGTTCATACCAATGTGTAAGCAGGTGCTTTCAAAGGGTTTACTGCATTGTGTGTTTCTTTATATGTCTTTGACTCAATGTAAGTTGATTGCAATGTATTGTGCTTGCGCTGCTGAGATGGTACTCCCTGGAAGGAAAGGGTTAACACTGCAGGCCAGGTTTTTCTGGGTGTTTTGGGGAAGTACCACTGTCTGCTGGGGCAAACAAATGATAAGGGAGGGAACCACCTCTCTGGAGCATTACAGTAGGTAAGACAGCCGGAGGTACAGTTCCAGATCTCCACACTTTAGGAACAGAATGCTACTAAGAAGGTGTATTATTAAGAATTATTATTTCATTATTAAGAATGTGAATCACACTTAACCGGCCCCTGTAGGAACCCAGGCAAGGTGCCAGGGATATGGACTTAGGCCACTGCTAAATGGACTGTGGGACTTAAGGACTTTCTTACTGTTATAAGGTATGACTATCTCAAGGGCATTTAGGAGCACCAGGAGAACAGCTATGGAGCACTTAACAGAACATGTACAGGAATATGTATTGAAGATATCATGTAAAATGTTTATTTGTTACTTTTCAACAATTTCAGTAAAGAATATTTATTGTTATTCAACTTGATATATTCTGAAGTTACTTAAAAACACACTTAACGGGTGCAATGCATGTTTGACATATCATAACAACAGGGCATAAGAAGGGGACAAGATGAGATAGAGAAGATACAGTACAAATATCTAACATGCAGTGAAAATATTTGGAGGAAGCTGTATTGCCATTGCTCATGACAACCATACTATTGTCGAGTACATAAGCAGTCAGCCATTCCAGAAAAGGGTGGCTTGGCAAGGGTGATGGAGGCCCTGGTAGTGAAGGAGCTTTTTGTGTTCTTTGTCCTGACCTTGCAGCATAAGGCATCCTATGGACCCAACCTGGGATTCACGGAAGATAGAGTAAGCAAGGGTTACGGGTTACGTGCAGAGTTCAGCTTCCTAGTATTCAAGTGAAACATAAAAATCAATGTTACTCGGAGGGAGGTGACACATGGCTGGTGGAGTCCGTTACAAGCTCAGCGGTACCTGCTCAGAAATGCTGCACAACTGAATTTACAGATAACAATTTATCAATACTTCATAGCTCTTCTGTTGAGTGCAATGAGGAACTGATGTCTGTATTGAAACAATAGGAAATGTTACAGAAGTTGGGCCATGAATTGTTATGTATACTTGTGGAGAAGCATTGCTTTTATGCTGGAGTGCTGCCTTAAATGTCAGTCTTGCTTTGTATGGCAGCGTCTGCCTGCCTTCTGCGGCGCTAAATGTAAAGAAGCATCACTCAAGGTGAGTATTGAGCAAACTCCGTCACAGCTCGCATCTGCAGTTTTCTGCCCGTCTTGCCACCCTGAAAATCTAGGAAGCAAAAAGTGATGGCTGCACACCACAGTAAAATGCAGCGCAATACTTTTATTCCAAGGATGACAGTTCATGTAGCACAAGATTCAAAAATGTTGGCTCAAGATACAAGGATGTTGGGAACACTAGTGAGTGCTTGCTCCAGGTCCCCACATGGATGCAGTAAGTCCCACCTACAAATATACTTCAGCTACAGAGTTGGAGGACATATTGATGGACTACAGGTGTGGTGAACACAGCACACTTGTGCTTCATTGAGAACTACAGTCCCTCTGCCATGGTGGCAGATGGGACTTGTAGTATTTTCAATCACAACCTTCTGTGAATAAATGATGCAGCTGTGTGGGTGTAACCATGCTGATTTCAAATTTAACAGGATGATGTGGGAAGAAGAATACTGAGATTTTGTAAAAGGAAGGTTTGGGGGGCTATGCATGCTGCCCATGATTTTCATTACACACTAATTATTAGTGTAACATGAAACATGGTCAGAAAAGTAAACTAATCTTTTATCTTGCTGTAAAAAGAGCCATACACAATCAATAAGTAAAGTAGGAATCTTGAATAAAGTTAACAATCTTTAATGGCCTCCTGTGCACCATATAAGGAAATGATGGGCGCAAGGCGGTTCTCTCGTTCTGGGAAGACGTCATATGATGTCCTCCAATTCTGACTGCGCTTGTGCACCAATCGGCGGTGTGCTGTGTCCCTGGGACACAGCGGATCACCGATCAATGGAAAGAGCCGAAGACATCGGCTCTGTCGTGTGAACAGCTGTGTCCAATCACAGCTGATCGCATGTAAATAGGGAAATGCCGGTTATCGGCATTTCTCTCTTCACGAGCTGTCACGCTGACATTACTCAGAGGGGATATTTACACTGATTATCAGGGCAATGATGATCAGTGTGCCCTGATGATCAGTGTAGCCCCATCAATGCCACTTGTCATTGCTAATTAATGCCACCTGCCAGTGCCCATCAGTGCCACATCAATGCCACATATCAGTGCCTACCAGTGCACATCAATGCCACATATCAGTGCCGATCTGAGCTGCCTTTCAGTGCCACCTATCAGTGCCAGTCAGTGCCACCTATCAGTGCCAGTCAGTGCCACCTATCAATGCCAGTCAGTGCCACCTATCAGTGCCAGTCAGTGCCACCTAACAGTGCCAGTCAGTGCTGCCTATCAATGCAGCCTATCAATGCCATATGTGAGTGCTGCCTTTCAGTGCCCATCAGTGATGCCTGTCAATGCCCATCAGTGCTACCTACCAGTGCCTCCTCATCAGTGCCACCTATCAGTGCAGCCTATCTGTGCCCATCACTGCAGCCTCATTAGCGCACATTAGTGAAGGAGAAAAATCACTTATTTACAAAATTGTATAACAGAAATTAAGAAAAAAAAGTTTTTTCAAAATTTTCAGCAGTTTTTGGTTTGTTTAGTAAAAAAATAAAAAAAACCCAGGGGTGATTAAATACCACCAAAAGAAAGCTCTATCTGTCACAAAAAAATTATAAAAATTTCATATGGGTACAGTGTTGAATAACCGCGCAATTGTCATTCAAAATGCGACAGCGCTGAAAGCTGAAAATTGGCCTGGGCAGGAAGGGGGTATAAGTGCCCTGTAGGCAAGTGGTTAATGATCATATGGTAAACAAAGGAAGATTAAAAGTATATGTAAACCCAAAAACTATAATTTAAGATTTAACTTTATAATGTAACTTCATTTGAGACCTTTTTTAAATCTGCAGCTTATATTAAAATAATACCTGCCATGCATAATCCTTTTCAGGTACTTATTGTTATCGGGTGGTCTGTTCCTGTCTCCAAATTGTTATTCTGCATTGTTATACAGTCTTCTGATGCAGACCTAATGGCTGCTTCAATACACAATACACAGACATGGTCTACTGTTGGCATAATCAAAAAGAGAAAAAAAAAGGTTATTGCTTATGATAAAAAGTGTCTTCGTAAACTGACTTTAATGTTATTATTTGGCATTCACTGCCTCATTGTGCTCGGTTTGGGAGGAGAGGCATGAACTTCAAAAATATTGTATTACAATGTTTTTCTGTTCGATTGCAGGTAGGAATTCTGTATGACCAGGGGGCGTCCCAGAAAAAAAAAGGGGGAAAAAAAGGGGGGGAAAAAAAAAAAAAAGGGGGAAAAAAAAAAAAAAAAAAAAAAAAATAGGCAGGCGCGCCACACCGGATGACACCTACCACACGGAGTGACACAGGACCCGCTCCACGAAGAGGTAAGTTGTAAAGCAAGCCGACGATCCGCAGGATGGATCGGATCTGCAGATTGAGCATAATGGATCGGAGTACGATCCATTATGCTCTGATCCTTCCATCAGATTGTTGGTTTACTTTACAACTTACCTTTTCGTGGAGCGGGTCCGCTGTCACCCCATATAGGTTGCATGTTGACAATCCCCACAGGATGAATCAGATCTGCGGATTGGAGCGCATAATGGATCGGACTGCGGTCCATTATGCTCAATCCGCAAATCCGATCCATTCTCCAGGGATCGTCGGAGGGTTTGTCACCAAGGTGTTATCGCACAAGGTGACACCAACCCTAGGGATGCCCCTGTGTATAACAATAATCAATGCCCTGTTTTCTTAATGTTGCTTGAGTTTAGAAGAACACAAAAAGCTAATAAGTCCAAACCAGAGTGAACAGTCTATTGTGCTCAGGATAATGCCATAGTACTAGCGCAGCGAAAACAATACAGTGTTAAAGGGGTGCCATGTAAATTGTCAGCTCACGTGTTGCTGTTTACAGGTAAAACAGTCAGAACAAGTCAACAAGGAAAAGACTTATTGACATTCCTGAGATTGGCCTACTTACTGCCATATAAGTTACATTATGACTGGAGTGACATCTCTGTTTTACAGGTTGTCGCTCTAGGGCAATCCTGAGGCTTGTGCAAGCAGAAATATTGCAAAGTTAATTGGAATGTTTTCAACATTTATGTAATAAACAATAGCGTTTCCTTTACAATAATAAAACTAGCTATAGCTGTTTTGAGACCATCTTAGTATTGGGAACCTCTGGCCAAAAAATATCTGATACACAAGTCAAAAGTGTACAAGAAGCTGTGACACTGAGCTGGGGTATATCCAGCTATTCCAATCAATCAGCAGATACAAAAGCACACAATAGTGCAGTTATGTATTTATTAACCACTTTTTACCCCCTTAAAGACCAGGCCATTTTTTTGCTATTCAGCACATCACTATTTCAACTGGTAATTGAGCAGCCACGCACTGCTGTACCCAAATTAAGTATATGTCCTTTTTTCACACAAATAGAGCTTTCTTTTGGTGGTATTTGATTACCAATGGGTTTTGTATTTTGTGTGATATAAACGAAAAAACACACCAAACATTTTGAAAAAAAAAAACAATATTTTTTATATTCGGTTATAAAAAATATCCAGTAAACTCAACATTAGTCATAAATTTAGGCAAAAAATGTATTCTGCTATGTCTTTTGTTAAAAAAAAAATCCCAATACACGTATATGAATTGGTTTGTGTGAAAGTATTAGAGTCTACAAACTATGGTATATACAGTTATGTCCATATATATTTGCACACAGGCACACATTTCAGACTTTTGGCTCTGTATGCCACCAGAATAAATTAAAATGAAACAATCCAAATTAATTTGAACTGCAGACTTTCAGCTTTAATTCAGGGGATTGAACATGAATATCAAGTACAAATTTTAGGAACTACAACCATTTTTTATACACAGTCCCTCCATTTTCAGGGGCTCAAATTTAACTGGACAAATGAATATAATCATAAATAAAATGTTGATTTGTAATATTTTGTTGAAAATCCTTTACTGGCAATGACTGCCTGAATTCTGGAACCCATGGACATTACCAAAGACTGGGTTTCCTCCTTTCTGAAGATTTGCCAGGCTCTAACTGCAGCTGTCTTCAGTTGTTCTTTGTGGGTCTTTCTGCCTTTAGTTTTGTCTTCAGCAAGTGAAATGCATGTTTAATTGGGTTAAGATCAGGTGATTGACTCAGCCATTGCAGAGTATTACTCTTCTTTTCTTTCAAAAGCTCCTGGGTTGCTTTTGCAGCGTGTTTTGGATCATTGTCCATCTGTACTGTGAAGCGCCGTCCAATCAACTTTGTTGCATTTGGCTGAATCTAGGCTGACAGTATTTCTCTAAATGCTGCAGAATTAATCTGGCTGCTTCTGACTTCTGTCACAACATCAATAAACCCCAATGACCCAGTGCCACTGGAAGCCATGCATGCCCATGCCATCACACTGCCTCCACCATGTTTTACAGATGACGTTGTATGCTTTAGTTCATGAGCTGTTCCAAGTCTTCTCCACACTTTTTTCTTCCCATCATTCTGGTACAGATTAATCTTAGTTTCATCCATCCAAAGAATCCTTTTCCAGAACTGGTCTGGCTTTTTTGATGTTTTTTGGCAAAGTCTAATCTGGCTTTTCTATTCTTCAGGGTTATGAATGGTGTGCACCTTGTAGTGAACCCTCAGTATTTGCTCTTGTGAAGTCTTCTCTTGATTGTAGACTTTGACAATGATACGCCCACCTCCTGGAGAGTGTCCTTCACTTGTCTGGATGTTGTCAGTGGGTTTTTCTTTACCATAGAGAGGATCCTGCGTTCATCCACCATTGTTGTCTTCCATGGACATCCATGCCTTTTTATATTGCTGAGCTCACCAGTGAGTTCTTTCCTCAGAATGTACCAAACTGTTGATTTGGCCACTCCTAATGTTACTGCTATCTCTCTGATGGATTTGTTTCATTTTAGAAACCTTACAATGGCCTGTTTCACTTGCATGGACAGCACCTGTGAATGCATGATGTAGGTTCACAGCAATAGATTCCAAGTGCAAATACCATACTTAGAATCAACTCCAGACCTTTAACCTGTTTAACGGATGAAGAAATAATGAAGGAGTAGCCCACACCTGGCCATGAAACAGCTTTTGATTCAATTTTCCAATTACTTTTGGTCCCTTGAAAAAGGGGGGGTGGCTACTCTTAAGAGCTGTAATTCCTAAACCCTTCCTCCAATTTGGATGTACATACCCTCAAATTAAACCTGAGAGTGTGCACTTTCAGTCCATATCCATTATATAACTATAGCACGAATATGTTTTGGTAAATACCTGAAAAAAACTAAAATTGTGCCTGCATATATGGACCTAACTGTATAATGGAATTTACACAGCTTTTACTTTCTGACTGACTCAAAATTCTTGAGGTGCTAAAATGCCAGGGAAGTATTAAAATCCCTTTTTGGAAAGTTTTTATTTTTTGCCACAACTTTGTGGAAAATGGCAATTTTTTTTTTTTTACACAAAATTGTCACTTAAATGATATTTTGCTCACGCATGCCATGGGTATATGTGGAATAACACCCCGAAACACATTCTGCTACTTCTACCAAGTATGGAGATGCCACATGTAAGAGACTTTTAGGCAGCCTCGCTACACACAGGCCCCCAAAATCCAATGGCCACCTTCAGGTTTTGAAAAGGCATAGTACTTCCTCACTACCTATCACAGTTTTGGAGGCCCTCAAATGCCAGGATAGTACAAACACCTCCCCCCAAATGACCCCTTTTTGGAAAAGAGACCCCCCCCCCCCCCAAGGAATTTGATAAGAGGCATGATGAGTATTTTGCAGATATCATTTTTGTTGCAGGGGTTTGAAAAAGAATAAAAGAAAAGAAAAAATAAGTTTTTGTTTTCTTTTTCTTTCTTTTTTTCTTTCTTTCTTTTTTTTTTTTTTTTCCTTTCTTTCTTTCTTTCTTTCCAAAAAGGGGTAACTGTTGGGGTGCTTCTACTATCCTGGCATTTCAGGGCCAATATTAGAGGCTTATGCCAGAGATCACCCACTTAAAGACCAAACCTTTTCTGACACTTTTTGTTTGCTTAAAAAATATATATAATGTTTGGGGTTCAATATAATTTTCTAGCAAAAAAACTGTTTTTTTTTTTCAAGAAGAGGCCCTAGGGAATAAAAAGTTGGGTGTTGAAATTTTTTATGTCACACAGAATTTGCGCAGCAATTTTTCAAACGCAAGGCTTTTGTAAAAATACACTTTTTAGAATTTTAATGCACAAAAACACAATAAATTGCCAAATTGTTTGATGAAAGATGATATTACGC